TCTCCTTATATGGTGTTTTAAAGACAATTAAGCACAGCTTAAAAATATGTGAATATAATGTGCTTATTGCATATTAAGGGGATTTTTAAAGCCAAAAGCCTTAAAGGATACCAAACCTCTATTTGAATGTCTTTTCTCTTGATTGATTTGTGTAACTAAGGGAAGACAACATGACAAAAACTATAAGTCAAAGAACCTACACGCCTGTCCTGTTAAAACACCAAGCTCTGAATGGATGGACATTCTTTAAAGTTTCACAGGCTGAAGTAAAGATTTGTCTGTCAACACTTGCTGGAAACCCGGAAGATTAAGCATTCCTGGACATTCAGGCAGGACAGGTGTTAAAGGCTCATGCCAAGCACCTTACAGACACGTTTTAACATTTAATAAGCCACTCAGAGTAATAGCCAACTGTTTCCTTTTGTGTCAAGTCCCACGTATTGGTCTGAGTGCTGAAAAACCTCAGATATATGACTGCTGTTGTAGTGGATACCATCCAAAACAGTCCTGACTGCAGATCAACCAATATTGAGTCTCAGATTAAAATACGATTAAAACAGTTTAACTAAACCTCTTGAACATTTGGAAAGGTCTCGTTTGTGGTGGTGTTTTGGCATGTTATTAAGAACATATGTAGCAAGGGCATTACAGAGTATTGTGGCTGTACAGCACAATGGGACTCTGAAAACAAGACATTCTGCTTCATTTATTGATATAGTTGACCTGTTTTTTTTTTTTTTCATTTTTTTGTACTGCACTAGTTGCTCATTTTTATAGACAGTAGGCTGACAGGAAAGGGGGTATGAGAGAGGGGGAGAGACATGCAGCAAAGGACCACAAGCCGGATTTGAACCCTATTGTGTCGAGGCCTAAGGCATCCACACATGGGCACTAACCACCGTGCCACCAAAGCACGCCTGATATAGTTGCCCTGTAAACCCATCGTATTGACTCTGTCCATCGGATAAAACTTCATGACACCTCCCAGAGAAGTAACAGCTTTTCTTGTCATTATCTGCACAGATCAAGCTGAAGATAAATCAGAGAACATCAAAAGGAAAGTTAGAGGAGCCGAAATAAACAAAGCAAAACAGGGATTAATTTAAGAACAGCAGCAGAATTGGCAATTGACTTAACATTTCTATCAAAATCAGTGGCTAGTTTCTGTGAATGGGATGAAGGCACAACAGTTGGTAGTGATCCTTATCCCATTAAAATCATAACAAAATTAACACTGAATTATGGTAGAATACAAGCAGGTAAGAAATGACACTTTAAAAAGGCAGATTGGAGTTCATAGATATCTGAGTCTAAAGAATATTTAAAAAATAGACATGACTAGGTATGTAATGATCCTTACCGTTAGATATTGGTAAGATAAATCGATTCCGAGCCTTCAGAAATATTAAAGAAAGGAAGAAGATAAATCAATAAAAAATGGTATTATAATGGACTTGGGATTTTGTTAAGTAATATAATTAAGAGATAAAACATTTTAATCACTTAAAAATAATCCAGTTTATCAGAATTTGGTTGAATATAAAGGAAAGCTTACAAAGGAGATAATTATTATGAATGCAAAAAGTGTATTTTGGAGAAATTTTCATATTGCAATAGGGAAAGAATCAACAAAGTCTTAAGAAGAAATAGCTTTTCTGATCTATCGGCAGCTGATTTTCTGTTAGTAGCAGTACATGATGCTTTCTTTAAAATCCTATTTCTTGCAGGGCAGGAATGTGGGAGCATTACAGGTTGGAGAGAAGCAGATTACCTCTTCAGTACAGATGCAACATGTCCTGATACACTAAGGTGGGTAAGAAGACAGCTACAGAATGATCCCCGGTGACCCATTTTTAGACTTCCACGGTTGTGTTAAAGCTGATTTTTTTTTTTAGGATATTTGAAAGCAAAGATTACATCTGGAACAAGGTTATTTCTGTCCACCTGTGAAAAGCGGCAAAGTGTGAAATCATTGGGAATTGGTCATTACGTGCTGCCTCCAGCTTGTGTACAGGATGGTGAGGGACAGTTTTTTCCTTCTGTTTTTTAGACTTTGCGTTTGAATTAAGTTTAAAGGTAAAAAAAATATATATATCCAAATAAGAAAAATAAATATTTAAGAATCTGAAACTATTTATCTACACTGTATGTATTACTCAGCTGGATTTTCTTACCATTACAGAGGTGAGAAAAGTGGTTGGCAGATTCATTTGGGAACACAAAGACGAAGAAACAGACGCACAGCTAGAGAGACCAGGATTTCCTCATGCTTTGCAGGATGTACAACAATCTTCAAGTCTGTCAGAAGTCGAACACAGTGAGGAGCAAGAGATAGGGAGCTTGTAAGTTTTCTTCGCACTTAGATCATCTTGATCTATAATGAGATGTGGCTAAACCGAATCCTGCTGATTTGTTAGGAAATATGAAGCATCAGACTCATCAGAGAGTGAAACTGTCCTGTGGGACCGTTTGAGAAGCCCAGGTAGTTGTACTACTCCAGGTGAGCTCTCTAACATGTCTTACTGTTTGTTTAATAACAAATCTTTACATTTATTAAATGGATTAATCCAATCAACCAAATGAGCCTCCAAGGCTTCAATAGGTCTTGGCGCTTAACTGGAATGGAGAAGTAGGGCAACACAATAACATGTTTATTAGCATTCTGTAGAACTTTCAAAGTAAGATGATATTATGTCAGTTCTGTAATACGGGCTAACCTTCCTTTCTTTTCATGTTTGCTTTCTCTCTGCAGTGTATGTCAGCATTGAGAAACTTCCCAAATACTCTGGTGATCTGTTTTTTTGTTAATCCTGAGCTTTTTCAATGTTCAAAATGTAAAAGCTACATTTGTTTCCAAAAAAAAGAGTGAAAGGCTTTGGGGGGAAAAAAACAACACACACAGGAGACATGTAAACAACCACAGAAACACGGACAATAACCTTTCAAATGTTTGTTTAAATTTGAATAACGTGCAAAATTGTTTGTGCCCATGCTGTTTCAATAAAAATGTTAATGAAAAAACAAGGTTTGTTTTCTTTTTTCTGTATTTTATAAACTGAAATATGGCGGTGTTAGTGCATAGTGAAATGTTACCTCCTCATCCCACCTATATATCCATGCTTTTCATAGAAGAAAAACTTTTCTGACGTTATTCATGTGAACAAGAAACAGCAGACGCAAAGTACAACCACAACAATATGACTGAATGAAATATATATTTCACATATAGTTTAGACATTTAATGCTGCTTCCTTAGAATGGTTTGTCTGAAATGTACCAAGCTCTGCTGAATTGCAGTTTCTAAATTAATCTCATAACCTTTATTTTGCTGACAGCCATAAGCATTACTATGTAAAGTAAATTGAAAAGAATGAAAAAAACATATATATTCGAATTTGTCATTCAATGCAGTAAGAGTTAAAGGAGTACTATTTTTATTAATCTAGTTGATTTTTTATGGAAGAGGATTAGGGCCACTGATGAAATTAAGCGAAGAGCAGAATGTGATTAAAACAAGAGAGCTAGTCTCTAAAACAGCCATGGCTACGGCTTGATGCTAACATGATTGTTAGCTGTCCGAAAACAGTCGGACAGCTAGATTAAAGTCAGAATTTTGAGATTAAAGTCAGAATTTTGAGATTAAAGTCAGAATTCTGAGATTAAAGTCAGAATTTTGAGATTAAAGTCAGAATTTTGAGATTAAAGTCAGAATTCTGTGAAAAAAGTCAGAATTCTTTCTCATATTATACTTAAATAAAATAAAAAAATCGGTTAACTTTTTTTCAGTGTCCCTACTCCTCTTCCGTAATTTTCAGAATAAAAACATTAAAAAAAATCACGTTTATTTCGTTGAATTTTGACAAGCTCGTTGGGCTCCAGTTCAGTTACATGCTTGGAAATAAAGAGGAGCCGAGGTAGGTGTCTATCAAAATAATTTGGCTTAAAAAGTACGAGTTTGATTTAGGATCAATATTAATTTGTTTATTCATATCAATATTACAACAAATTAATATAAACATATGAATAATATGCCCAATCTTGTGGACTGGAGCATAATCCTTGGGGTAAAGCTCCCCCCGTCTCTATTGTAAATGGTTCATTCCATGATTTTTCTGACCAATCAAATGCTTTGTTTTGTTCCGGTGTTATACCGAGAAATGCATGCCTGCCGAGAATTGCGTCCCTTCTCGCGGGGCGCGCATCACTCTAAACTCTCGCAAAACTCTCGAGAAAACTGACTGAAGAAGAGGAAACTTTTA